ATAGAGAGAGAGAGAGGAAGAGAAGGAATTTTAGACCCACGCTCCCTCCAGGCAAGTACGCCAGCACTTTCCGTTCAACAACGTAAATCACTGGACGGTCTCCAAGGAAAGCGTGGAAAAGTCGTGCCCTTGAAGCTTATATGTTCCGCCACGCGCATCCCAGGGAAAAAAAGGCAAAATCATCCAAAGACACAACTCCCTAGGGGAAGAGCCCTCTCTCATCTTTCAACACACAAACATGCCCAGAATGAACAAGAAAGCACCACGAGATTCGGCCTTCTCAACTCGCTCTTGACTCGGCGTAGACTCACTTGACTCGCGCTTCCGCAGCAGGAGAGGAAACACAACGCCGGACGGACGACTATTGCTGGTTCAATTTTGGCAGTTGGTGAGTCGACGATGGCATCGGTGGACAAGCAGCGAATTGAGGACGTGTTGGCGTGTCCGTTTCTGTTGGCGGAGAGGATACGTTCGGCGGTGGAGGAGGCGGAGTCCTTCAAGTTGGAGTGTGGCGAGGTGGGGAAGCAAGTGGATCGGCTGTTGCAAATGCTTCGGACCCTTGTTCGGTTCACCACTGCGGTTCAGTCTCTCTACGAGAGGCCAATTCGGCGCGTTGTGGCGGAGGTATCGAGGAACCTGGACCGCGCCCTGACTCTTGTCCGCAAGTGCAAGCACCGCAATATCCTGCGCCGAGTCGTCGCCATCACAAGTGTCGCCGATTTTAAGAAGCTCTTCAACTTTCTTGAAGCTTCAGTCGGAGACATGAGGTGGCTCCTCAGCTTGTTTGACTGCGAAAACGGCGGTGCCTCTGTTGGAAACGTTCTCTCCCTCCCTCCAATCGCCAGCAACGACCCAATTATCTCTTGGGTCTGGTCTTACATTGCCGGCGTCCAGATGGGGCAAATGGCGGACCGTATTGAGGCAGCTAACTATCTTGCTTCGCTTGCTCAAGATAACGACCGGAACAAGAAAATTATTGTGGAAGAAGGTGGAGTACCTCCTTTGCTGAAGCTTCTGAAGGAAAGCTCCTCAGCTGACGCCCAAATTGCTGCTGCAAATGCACTTTGTATGTTGGCAAACGACGTAAACAGGGTGAGGACTATAGTTAGTGAAATGGGTATCCCAATCGTGGTTCAAGTATTGGGGGATTCTCCCGTGAGGGTTCAAATCGAAGCGGCGAATTTGGTGGCGAGAATGGCAGGGCACGATCAAGTGGCACAGGATGATTTCGCCAGGGAGAAGGTGATTAGGCCTTTGGTGACCCTGTTGTCATTTGAGACATTTTTGGATGATCCTACAACACAATTGGGTAAGCAAATCATTCATTCAATAGCTCAGATTAATAAAGAAATGGAGAAAAATTCACCATCCAATTCGTGGGGTTACCGGCCTTACATGAATTCATACTCGAATTTGTCTACGGAGGGTAGTAGTAGAGGGGGAAGTCATAGGAAGGACAGGGAGAATGAGCAACCTGAGGTGAAGCTTCAGTTGAAAATTAGTTGTGCAGAGGCATTGTGGATGTTAGCTCGAGGGAGTGTTCATAATAGCAGGAGGATAACCGAGACAAAAGGGTTGCTTTGCTTGGCCAAGTTGGTTGAGAAGGAACAAGGTGAATTACAGTATAATTGCTTGATGACTATAATGGAGATTACAGCTGCTGCTGAATATGATGCTGATCTCAGGCGTTCAGCGTTCAGGACCAATTCTCCTGCTGCAAAGGCTGTTGTTGATCAGTTACTAAGGGTGATTAAAGAGTTGGACAGCCCCACATTGCAAATTCCTGCCATCAAGTCGATTGGATCATTGGCAAAGACATTTCCAGCAAGAGAGACTGGAGTGATTAAGCCTTTGGTGGTGCAGCTGAGCAGTAGACACCAAGAAGTGGCTGCAGAAGCTGCCGTTGCATTGCAAGAGTTTGCTTCATCTGATAACTATCTCTGTACGGAGCACTCAAAGAGCATAATCGAGTTCCATGGTGTTCCACCTTTGATGAGAATGCTTAGAGACAGTGAAAGGACACAGCTCCCGGGATTGATTCTGCTCTGCTACCTTGCAATACATGCAAGTAACAGTGAGGCTTTGGAACAGGCTAGGGTGCGGACTACCCTTGAGGGTGCAGACCGGACAGTGCTTGCCCAACACCCCATGTTGAAGGAATTGATATCCAAGGCAATATACCACCTCAATCTTTATCACACAGGAGTTCATCCTCAGAGCCAATCTTACATGCCTTGAACATTAACATCCCCTTTTGTTTTTGGGATAGTTTCTGCCTCTTATGTCAATAGATTTGTATTGGAAGCAAATGGGAAGTAAATAATACTGAGGTTTGAATCAGTTATAGAATTAAGTAGTTCATCAAAGTAGAAAGCTTTCTTTGCCAAAGGAAATTATACATAGTGCTCCTAATAGATTAGTTGCTTCATACTCTCTTATTAGGAAATTGATGAGAGATTTTTCTGTTTTTTTTTTCTTTTTGTATAATTTTATGAACATAAATTTCCTCATGTTTTTCTTCAAGTGACATTGGTCTTCCATTCCCAAGGGCAGGGGTGAGAGCGGCACGGTTATTGCCACAATTTTTTATTAAGCCCACAAAAAAACACTCGGTTTTACAAAATTTTGTTGGCAACAAGCATTAACCAATGAAGTTGCACGCCACATCCATGAAAAATATTGGGCTTTATGTAGTATTTCATGGATCATGACTCATTTCTGGCATATGTAGGGCCGGCCTGAAACTGAAGGGTGGAGCCTGAGGGCTTGGAGAGTCTCCGTCGATCTAAATCTGGGCCAACTGGGTGGGTACAAACATATACATAAAATAGCTTAGATTCGGTTGAGCCCAAATTCGAGCCACATTTAACAAAGGCTAAGGCCCAAAGCAGCTCATCTAGAGGTGTTGGTTTTTGGGCCTCTATCTGTTGGTGTCGGTGGTGTTGTATGGATATGTAGTACTACTCCCTCCATCCCATTTTACTTCCTACATTTTTTTAAAAGGATGTGTCACAATTTAGTTCTCGATTTTCTTTCCAACTTTACCCTTATACAACTTCATAATGATTTTTTTTTTTTAGCAAAACTTAATGATTACTCCCAAGTCCCAACTTCTTTATTAATTGAGTTATACAAAGGATAAATATAAAATTTTAACTAATAATAGTTTTATTTTTATGGAATTTCATAATTTTTTGAGTAAAAAAATTAATTATATATATATAGAGAGAGAATAGTGTAGAGAATGTCATTTTTCTAAGTTTTGAAAGGATTTATCTAAAAACCTACATTCTAATTAATATTTTCAAAAACTGACATTTGAATTGAAAATTCTATTCATATAAATTATGCATATCAATTTTTATTATAACTATTTAATTGAATAAACTTTATTTACTTATATGTATTTAATAATGTTAAATTTCTTATAATCAATAAAATGATTAGGTTTATTAAAACAATTTAAAATTTTGTATGCATAATCTATATAAATATAACTTTTAATCTGATAATTAGTTTTTAAAAATATTAATTAGAATATAAGCTTTTAAACATATCTTTAAAAAAATTTAAAAAGACAACTTGCAAAACACTTTTCTTATATACATATGAATTCTTTGTTTTACAATTTAGACAATATATAGTTTGCTCTATAAATTTGCTAAGAAAATCTTAGTGAAATAATATAAAAATAGTTTCATTAAAGGTATTTTAATAAATTTATTAAGAATATTTTAATATAAAATCTATTCTATAAAATACTTTTTTAATATATAATGCTTTATATATATATTGTACAATGTGTTAATATTAGACTTCTTAAGCACCAATTTTTATAGTAATAATTTTTCATAAAAATATATTGTATAATTTAAATTATATTAATATGTACAACTATAATTATTTAATAAAAATAAACTCCTTAATATTGAATATTTTCTCCTTACCTACAATCTTCTACTTAAAATAGTTCGATATAACATGGGGTCATAAAACAAGCTACATTTCTTTTATCGGCAACAAAGGGATTTAAAACTTTAAATGCCTAATTGGCCATGGAGCTTTGGGTTGACATGTAGGCCGATAGCCAAAGGACATATGACGGTCATTCATGCCTTAAGTAGGATTACCAATCTTGCCAAACTCAAAGTACCAAAAAGGGGCAAAGGACATTTACCAAAAAAAAGAAAAGAGGACAAAGGTGCACTGCTGATTTGGCACTGTACTGAAGAAGGGAAAATGTCGAGAAGAACACAAGGCAAGCTGTCGTAGGTGGCTGTAACAAAGGTTTGATTCTAGGTGCGCATGCAGTGGGAGGCAGCTGGCTCAGTTAAAGGAATCTTATCAATCTCTTTTGAACTAGGAATCTAATCTTATCGCTCTGAAACAAACAATTTCCTGTCAAACCGTAGCTTTTCTTGGTCTTCTTGGACACCTGCAATGTATATGTTAATTGCACTCGATGCAAATAGTAGAAAAATCGGCATTGGGGCAATCATTGGTCGTGTTTTTGCTCCTTACATCTATTGAGGGCGGCTAGCATTTTTGTATTATAAAATTAATTCTTTTAAAGAGTTTGGTTTTTTATAATTTGAAGTATTTTAAGTTGTAAAATATAAA